GGTGCTTTCATCAGCCTCCACGTGCCTCATACCACTTGCACTTCAGGTCAATCTTCCCATTTTTTACCTTTTGATATTCTTGTAAGTTCAATATTTTTCAGGAGATCATGCAACCTCCTGCTACTGAAAAAGCTAATGTTACATGGATGCTCTACTTTTATATTTTGAGTAGCTGTGTTCATGCAGCTGGTATCTCCTCCATTCGTCTCTACTCTGGGCGTCTCCTACTCATATGTCTTAACTGTAGTGGTGTTCCCTCGTTTTTTGACACTACGCAGATGCCATTCGTTAATCCATTTTGTCCATTTGTTTTCTCTGATTTTTGCAACATAACAAACCGATCCTTTCACGCAGTGGAAGCATTTGGGATAATGAGGGCAGTGGCCAGTATCATCACCAGCAGAACTGCAGATAATGCTAACACTATTTATGCCACTGCGAAAATATTGCGCTCAACCGCAATATTTTATTAGAAAGGCTTGCCGAACTGATGCTTCTTAATTCATTGTGTAACCGCTAGTTTTGCTCCTCAGCAAGCGTAGTTTTCCACGTTCCATTTTCCTGCATCTGGCCTTGAATTAAGGTATGTTGTTTTCACAGTCGATGCTATATTAGAGTTAAAATAGGTGTCCATAAAATAGTGAAGGTTATCCATCCTGTTTTTTTTTTTTTTTGAATTGCTTTGGAATGCTGCACCGGTTCAAATTTGAAGCTATTGGCAAACAATACGAAGTAGGTTTGCCAATAGCTTCAACTTTGAAAAAAATTAAAAAAAAAAGTCTATACCAGGACTTAATGTCAAATGATTTCGCTTATATAAAAACACGAATATTGCTTCTTTTTCACTCCATGTAAATCCTAACAATACCATCGATAGTAATGTGGAATGGGCAGGAATTGCCATTCAGATTGAACAGGCCTAAAGAGTTTTTGGACAAGGTCCTTTCGAGCTTTTCGCATCAGAAATCTAGTTAAAAAGTACCATCAGCAGCGAAATTCAAGAGCGCTAGGTTCGCTGTTTATTAATATCGCTTGAGAATGTGTAATCAAGGCTAACGCATACATATAGTTTACAGGATAACATCAGCAGTAGTAAGCTACAGCAATACAGATCGGCAAAACTTCCGCA